GGGAAAGAAATGATTACTGAACTTAAATCCCTGTTACTTCCTGTTCTTCATCTAAACTGACTTCCACGTGTAATTTTGTGATTTATTTCCATATTCAGATTCTTTATTTGATGCTGTATACAGAGTGCGGTACGCTTACTTACAGCAAGACAAATAGGGAAAAATTTCTGTGCCACCAGCAGGGCATTTACACATGACTGTGACCTGACATAGTACATAGTATTTCAATGTCCTTTGAACCATCTTTTGACCACCACTGCTCAGTTTTCAGTATAAGAGCCCAAGAGAATTCTGAAGCCTTTCAAGAACCTGTGGTTAAACGAGCATTTCCTTGACTCTCAGAGCAAATTTCTTTGGTCATGTGTTGAATGACACTGATCCCCCTTAAAATCAGTATGAAATCAATAAGAAGCATTAGGCTCTTCAGAGGCAGAAGATCTAAGGAGCAAGGAAAGGAAAAGCTGCAGATATGTTCCAACAAATGGTTTTCGGTTTCCTTAGAATATGAAAATGAATTTTCTGTGTGAATTTTATTAAAGGAAATGTTGGTTTTGTGAACTGTATGTTTGCAAAGGGAAATAGGATGGGAGAGCAACAAATCTGTAGAAGTGTGTAGTATTTAATTAAGGTAATAAATTATTTAAATGAAGGATTCCTATTTTATTTTGCTGCTCTAAACTATATTGCAGCTTGGAGTTGGTCAGAGGGTAGATAGACTAGAGGAGGGGATTCAGTTAGCTTATTATAGTGTGGTGGCATGAAACTACAGACCAAAAATCTGGCTAATGTATTGCACAGGGTTAAGAATGGAGACAAGATGATCAATGTACTCTCAAGAGAATGATGCCTCAGTTTTAGAGAGCCATTTTAAAAGAGATTTTAGTTGTTTTTCCATTCTGTGAACTAAAAGTCATAGACTTATTTTTCGCTCTTTTATATGAAAGACTTGATGTAGATCCTGAGCCTATCCATGTATTTTTGAATGGTTATGCATCTAGAATAAGAAAGAAACTGAAAAGAAGTGCTTCCTACAGCTAAAGGAAAATGTTTCTTGGACCTAATTAGACCTATAGGTGGGAAAGCATGCAGGCCATACTGTGAATTTAAGACTGGTAAAAATAAGTCTAGCTGAGGAATCTTTCAAAAGCCAAAAGCTTCTTTGCTAGACTGACTGTATTGTTCTTTATTCCAGCTGTTAGAGCTTCTGTTTCCAATTCTAAACAATTCATCCATGAGAGAAGCAAATATATTGTGACTGAAGCAATGATTTGGAAGAAAATATTCTCAGATTTCATTCCCGGTTCTTAATATCTTGTCTCCAGATTGACCTTGAAGAGTCACTTGGCTGTTTACCTTAGTTCTGTGTCTATGAAATAAAATAAGAAGTATTTTCTTTCAACTCCATTATGCTGATGAGACCTAATACAGACTAGGATGTCAACGTAACATAACATAACATAACATAACATAACATAACATAACATAACATAACATAGCAAAACATAAGTCTTCACACTTAAAAAGCAGCCAAAGCATTTGCAGGTTTCAAAATTCCTTGTCTTACAAATACGAAAGAGATTTAAGAAAATAATTTTTCTGGTGTGCAGTGAGATTACAAATGGTTATTAGGATTTGGTTACCAAAGGTTAGCTTTAATTATTTGTTTTGTTTTGTTTTTAAATCCTGTCCTTAACTTACTACCTAAACCCATTTGTATAAATAGCAAGAGAAGTTATAGGTAAGGAAGACTGCAACATGCATTTATTTTCAATAAATCTCTGCCTGAGGATTTACATTTGATATATCACCTTTTTGAGTTTGGTTGGGAGTAAGGTTACACATTGGGGATTTAGAATACAAAATCTGTAGTCAAAATTAGCCATTCTTGATTGTTTAATAATGTGATTTCTATTCATGGTGCCCAGCATAGAAAAATAATGCACAAGAAGAGAGAGCAATTGAAAGTTATTTGATTGCAGTCTTTAAAAAGATGAAGCCTGTATTTAGCTGTAATCAGCTGCCCTTTGAAAACCTCTTTTCTGCTTAAAAACAGCCTTTGTACAGTCTGCATCTGCCATAATTGGTTTTCTAAAGTCTGTAGTGTTGCTTCATTTGCCTTCCTTGAAGGATGGGGAAGGGAAGGGGGAAATAGTTTTTCATAAACCAGAAATAGGGTCTGTATGTGTATTTCTCCATTACCTTTTTTTTTATAAATATCTATTTGAGATTTCATTCTGCTCTTTTTCTCTTTTCAGCTTCTGGTTGGGATTATTCAAGCAGCTGAGCTGCCTGCATTAGATATGGGTGGTACATCTGATCCCTATGTGAAAGTTTTCCTGCTGCCTGATAAAAAGAAGAAGTATGAGACTAAAGTCCACAGAAAGACCCTTAACCCTGTTTTCAATGAGCAATTTACATTCAAGGTATTTTTTATAATTACTGAAACTTTTTTATTTAAGCACTATATATATCTCATGCTTGGCTAAAAAGTTAGATGCCTTAGTTAGTTGCTATACTGCAGCATAGTGATTTTTTGTATTGTAGAAAGATGTGATATTCAATCTTACAATGAAAAAGGTGTAACATAGGGTGAGACCTCAGTAAGAATAAAAGGCACAGATTGATTTTAGCCACTTCAGTTATCCCAATGTATGACAATCTGATACATATTTTATGGCTGGATGAAACTTCCAAGAAAGTCAGAAAACTGACACACTGACAAATGTCAGGTAAATTTCACTAGACCAGTATTTTCTTAAAATATTTTTGCAGTCTGCTTTTTGAATTTCAGTATACCATTTCTTTTCCCCCAAAAAATAAGTTAAAACTCAGGGAAGGTAAATGGATGAAAGACAATATGTCAGATTAATCTTGCTAGAATTCATCATAGCAATTCTTTGCCGTGCTACTTTACTTGTGAAAAGAAATCATGTTTCAGGTTTAATAATGTATGAATTAAATAAATGTAGCTAGCCTTACATTGCCATATTTAACTCATTCCAATAGTATCTATCGGTAGTGTGTTTCTAAAACTGTAGCCATGCCTAAACCCCAGTTAAATAGTAAAGGAATACTATACAGCATGTTTCATAGGACTTCTCCTAATATACATTCCTCCTGCTGTTACTTTAGGCATTTCTTTCTATACCAAATCTTATAATGACAGCTACAGATTGAAAACAGGAACAGTGAAGGACTCAGGCTATGTAATCATTCAATGAGAAAGATATTGCTAGAGGCCAGAACTACTACTGCATATATAAGCTTATTTTTTTCCTTGAAGATGTTCATAAAAATAATCTTTTGTGAGGAGTTATTTTTTCTTGAGCTCTCCTAAGAGAGTATTTAAAAGAAAACCGAGTTATAAATTACAGATTTCCGTGCAGCTCACAAAAGACAAGAAAGGGACAATGATGCTGTCATCTAAGATGAAGGTGCAAATTATAAATCTGATCCAGTCCTGTACTATGATGGCCACTTGTTTTAAGCCACATCTTTAATATTCAAATTTTAGGCTCCAGCAGAAAGTTTACTTTCCATGCAAGACCTGACAGACTGTTTAGGTGTGTCCCAGTATGGTACTGGTCATCCCCTGTATACTGTGGTCTGTACTTAAGAGAAAATCAACAGGGCATGGCAGGCACTATTATTGTTCTGGGACAAGCAACCATTTAAGTAGTGCTGCACCTGTAATAAATAATATTCTCTAGGAACTACTGACAATGTCTTGTTTCCTTGGGCAGTCTTACTTCTGTGACCTACTTCAGGTGGTCCACAGCTTCTGTTGGCATCCTTCCCACCTCCCTCTTGAGCAGAGCTGCCCCCCAGGCAGCCCAGGTCCATTTTGTTACATTCTCCTTGGGTGCAGCTGTGAGCTGCCTGCCTTCCTGCCAAAGAAGAACTAAAGGGGATGAGATGGATTATGTTTCTGCTATGTAACATCTTGAGCCTTGGACCTCATTCCTTCTCTTCTTGGATGATTCCCTTTGTTAGTCTCCATTGCTTTTTTCCCTGACATCCATGGTGTCGTTCCAGTGTGCAGGTGTTTGTCAGGTTCCAGCTGTCTGAATTGGAGACCTGCACTGCCCTGCCAAAAGCAAAGTGAGAAATACTAGGTGGACCACACCAGTCCGGCAGAGGGAGGTGTTCTTCCTCAGGTCCAAAGTGAGAAGAGGGTTCACATCTAGAGGAGTGATATGTCTGTACCAGGAAAATACTCCTACATATGTCCTTCTACTGAGGTCTCACCTGCATTAAGAGGCTGATTATTCTGAGCAGAGCAGAAAGCACAGAGAGGGAGCAGTCCTTCAAAAGAACTGAGGATATACTTGGTGGTCCTAAGCAGAGCTGGAAGAAGAGTCTACTTTAGAGGTAATGAATGGAGGAAGCACTGCTACTAGATCCTCTTTAAAAAGGAAGGTAGCTTTACTGAGGTCAAGTTAATGATAGAAATTTCTAAGTAAATACTGATAAGAAAAAATAAATAATGATAAATGTAATCTTTTCATGCATTCCAAATGACCAGGATCCATTAAGTGATATTGTGAACTGATGGAGAAAGAAACTTTAGAACATTTTTTTTCTCTTGTTTTTGAGGCTGTATAAAACTGAAAGTGAAATTATTTAGAATTTTGACTTCCACATATGTTTGCCTTCTATAGCTTTATATAAACCAAAAATAATTTACTGAATCAACATAGATTTTGGTGTAGTATTTACTACAGTACACAACCCTGTACCCACTGAAACTATTCTACTCCGTAATGGAAGCTGGAGCTAGCTCTCAACTTGAAAAGCTTCTTTTAAACATTATATAACATGTTAGGAAAAAGGACAACTACTCATGTTATTAGTAAATATTTTAAAAAGCAAGCTGAAGCCAAACAGGAACAAAAGACAACACTGCTAGAGTTTCAACAGACCAGAACATGCGGAGGTTAACAAGGCCAATTATGATGCCACTCTTTCATTTCTCTTTTTTATATAGACAATTAAGAGAGAAATGTTTCATGAAGCCCATGGACATCATTTATACTTACAGAATATATTCAAATTGACCAAGTGTTCAATGTGAGTCCAAACAATTCCTAAATCATACCTCTTCACACAGCCACTCAAGTGTAGCTTACATGAATGGCGCATCTTCATCTGAACATTAAAAATGTGACTCATAAAGATACTAACCCACAGCATCTGTCCAAAACATCAGAACAGCTGGAGAATTAGTCAGAACTTGGCCTTCTGCCACCACAATTTCTAGCTGTACACTGTGACTTAGAAAGCACCTGAGTGTCTACAGTGTGAAAAATATAATAATGAAAAATATGCCTCAGTAAGTAATAGATAATGGTACTGTAAGAAAACTATTTTGTGTCTAATTATTTTGTATCAGATGCAGTAAGCTGGTTCTGTTTCTTTCATCTGTCTGGGAGATGCCCATTTCTGAGTGATGACAGTTTACTCACTGAGGAAAGGGAACAATGGTGCGAAAAGTTCATGTGTCTCCAGTGCAAATAATTGGGCTTCCTGTTTCAGTGTCATCACCCACAAAATTATTTGAAGCAGAATGGGAAAAACCCAGGAAGTGATGAGTGAGCTGCCACAATGGTCTATTGAGTGCCAGAGCCTGGTCTCGAAAAATACTGCATCTTGGTGACTCTGAAACAAATACACCTCATGGTTTTCTCTGCAGTTCAATTCACCTGAGATGACAGCTGATAAACCAAAGAAATAGATTTACTTTGTAGTGGGCTGATCTTTATTGTCTCGGATATGGAGTTTGTCATTTTCTCTTCGTTGCAGGTGCCATACTCTGAGCTGGGTGGAAAAACTTTAGTGATGGCAGTTTATGACTTTGATCGTTTCTCCAAACACGATATCATTGGGGAATATAAGGTTGCGATGAACACAGTGGACTTCGGTCATGTCACTGAGGAGTGGAGGGATTTGCAAAGTGCAGAGAAGGAAGAGGTAAGAAAAATCAGACTGTTTTTTTAACCCCAGGACACTTTTATCCTCAGCTAGAGAAACAGTCAAACTAGCAACATTTTTTTTTGCAGAGACGGCTCCCATCTGTTATCAGCATTTCTCAGACTTACTTTGCCTGATAAATTTTTGATAAGCATCTTTTCCAATACTTACTGAATGGTGTGTTCTCCTTTGCTAATCCTGTTTTCAATCTTTTTGATACTTTATGCAACATATTAAGAAAGTTTTCATGAGTTTGACTTTTCCTTTAATTGGTGCAGTTAGGGTACTTAGAATTTGCATTTGAATTATGAGACTACTGTACTTTCAGGCTTCTTCCAGAATTTTGTATGTCAAGACATCTTATTGTGCATAAAAATAATGGTAGGTTTTTACTTGAAATACCTTAGAGTTTTACTGAGCTGATCTGCAATAACATCCATTGATTAGAATTATGCATTTGACAAGGACCTTGGAATGGCATCTCACTCAAATATTAATCACCTTTTTTTATTTTCCTCTCTGTGCCAACATCCTGTAGGTTCATTATTTAATAAGTGTAATGCTACATGTACACAAGGCACTTTTTGGAAATATTTCATCACTAAATTGTAGATCCAGTGAGGTTGTTCATACTGGCAAATCCACCTTTTTGCTTATTATAAGACCATTTTGTACTCAGTTTTACATTATTTTTCCTTCTGATTGCTAGATAATATCTGCCCACTCATAACAGTCAGAGTGCACAGCATGCTTCAGTTCTCTGGTGTGAGAAGGAGGAATCTGAGTCTGTCTCATTGTCTAATTTAGCTAATAAGCTGCTTTGGATTCAAACCTTAGTTTCTGTAATTAAAAGGAAAATCTCTGGCTGAAATCTTTTCTTAATACAAGTGATGAAAACTTGAGTATTTGATTTAGACTACAAGTTGTGAAAAATCAGGCAGATACTGAGCATACAGCGTCTTCTTCTGAAGCATACAGCCTTCTCAGATTTTTCAAAAATGGTGGATTTCAGTCTTGCTTTTTTTGAGTGTTAGTTTTTAAAGACTGTATTTTCAAATGTCTTTCTTCTACTGCTTATTGATTTGAAAGCCATTGTTGCGTTGAGACTATTCTGTATGGCATTGTTTCATAGTGACAACATTTGCAGGGCTCTCTTATTTCATGTGACATTGGTGTCCATACTATTGGGCATTTTTCTTCCACTCTTAGAGCTAAAGATGAAAATGAAAAAAAAAAAAAAAAAGAGAAAAAGGGAGTTTGCAGTTCAAGGACCCTGTTAAAGTCCCAGCATACTGAAAAGCTAGAAATGTGAAATCAGAATGTATTAATCTTTCCAAACTTTATCAGGTATCAACTGGATTTCTATTGCACTACTGGGCAATAGCAAAGTGTTTCATGTTTTTCTATTGCAAATCTCATGAAAGAAGCCAAATACTACATGAAGAGGGATTGCATCTTCACTTTTTTAGTGTAAATTCAAGCTTTTCGAACATAAGCAATGATATTCCCACATGCAGGTGACAGATAATATGGCATAGATTCATGTGGGATTTCACCTGTCTTCTGGCATAGAACATTGCCTCTTGAGTTTTCTAAGACATGCCCACAGTGAGACCTGTCTCAGTCCCTTAGTTCTTTCATAAAGTTCATGTCATGCTAATAAAAAGCAATGTTCAAGTTGCTTGAAACATAGTGTGAGTTACTTCCAAAAATGCATTCTGACTTGGAAAGAACTTTTTATTAAAATAAAAGAAGGCAAGTAAAATAAATAATTCTTAAAGTACTTGGGTATTAGAAGAGTATTACAAGAACTTCAAAAAGTTTGCAGTAGGAATGAAACTTAAGTCGCACCTTATTTGTGATTTCAGAGCCCAAGTGAAAAGAGAGATGTGTATTTGTACATGTATTTGTCATGTCTATGCAAATATATTAGTATGAGAGTCATGTTAACTAGAAAAAAAATAGTTTTCCTTAGTTCTTGCTTGAGCCTCCTCCCTCACCTTTCTTCAAATTTCAGGTACTATATATACAGAAAAAAAAATGTCATTTTTGTAAAGTTTTTTGGTAGGACATTTGAATGTGTTGCTGATGTGCAGCTTTGTTATTTATAGGAATCGCAGCAATATCATTCTATGAAAACATCCTGAAAAACTGTGCTTGCACCAGCTCCCTAAATGTTTTTTCATAATACAGGAGGCCTCCTGTTGCATTTTTGCATCTCTGTGCTCATCAGCATGCCACATATCCAATAAATATGGAAAAATATCATAGCTTGGGTTATGTGGAGATTTTGTTAATCTTAGTGTTCTATATATTAGTTGCAGCTTTCCTGTAGTAACTTCTGAGCTTATTGTACCAATAAAAAGTGACCCTACAGAAACCAGTTGCTCAACCTGTAGATCAGATGTGTATTTAATCCAAAAAGTCTTCACTTACTTTAGCTCTCTTATGGAACCTTTACTTCTGTCATATATGCATTGAGTCTGATTCAAAGAACAGCTTAGCTCAATTTGGAAAAGAAATTTCTATGAAGAACCAAAAGTGTTGCATCCATCAGTGGTTTGGGAACTGCGTTTCCCAGGAAATGTCATTCGTATTTCCATATTTGACTAGTTTCAAATAACTCACATCTTCAGTATTCCTGCCTCAGCTCAGCAGCAAAGATGCAATACCAATTCTAGTACATTTTAGGACATAATAAGTAGGGGACTGAAAGGCGTGGGAGGGTCCTGTTGCCATAAACCTGTTATCAGCTGAGACAGCATATGTTGCAGAATTCACAGCAGATACAGCTGCAGGCAAGCAGTACCCTGGCTTCAGAGTTAGCAAAAACAGTACTGCACATACAGAAGCTAACATGATTTACCTATGCCAGATTTGTAGCAACAGACACATGCTTGTCTCTTGGTAGTTATCATCAACACTGTATGGTGGTCTGGGCTACTAATTGTAAGAAAATATGATAAAAAAATGAAAAAATTCAAACACAAGCAGCTGTATTTCATCCAAAAATGTATGACAAATGTAATTCTGTTGCTACCAAAAAATCTTTTGTAGACTGTTCTACATGTCCTAATTGTGTAATGAATTTGTCCTTGAAAATCATCTATGTATGTGCTCTGCAATATTTGAAGAATTACGTTTTATTTCCTTTTTTGCCCTTACCCAGTTAGGTAAGTTTGTCAGTTCTTAACAACCTAGCACTAATTAGAATCCCAAATATGTTCACGATTAAGTATCAGACACCAAACTATCCTTAATACTTTAATTATGAGCCCTAAACAAGATGCATACCAATGCACAGCAGTGGCAACTGTCATCAGTCACTTTGAAAGAAACATCTAGATGCCTCAGTTAAACTGAATATAAAAATCTTTTATTTCACTTTGTCAAATTCAGTTGATGCACATCACAGAACACAGAATTTAATTAAGATTGCAGTCATGACGGCAAAATCATTTTATGAGCAGTTACTCTTCTTTTTGCTCATAAAGCTCCACTGTACTTTCCACCCTTTTTTCTAAATGGGCTTGAAATCGATGACAGAAGATGAAGGTTTAATGAAATATTTGAAGGTCTACTTCTCACAGCCAAGACATTTGAATGGCATCTCTCTGACACTGTATTGTCTTCTGGGAAAGTTCTTATTAATATATTTATATTCATGAAGCACTTAGAAGGTACAACGCTCTATGTAAGCATTTCTTATGACTGTGAGGGGGCTTTGGGAATGTGTGAGTCTGTACTATGACTGCTAAATATTGCAGAGACCACTCCTAATGGGCTGCATACCTTCAGTGCTTTTTCCCTGTCTGTTCGTACCTCTGCTGTCCTTGTGAATATATGGAGGTGATTCATCTAGCAGCCCTTCAGTCTCATATGACTGAGAGCATGGGAGGGAAGAGTGGTGGATACTGAAAGATTATTCACTTTTACCAAGTCTGCCATATAATGGTTTGGGCACAGTGTTAAAAAACAGATGATAGGAGCTTGGTCGTCTGTGTCATCTACCAGATGTCACTGCCATTAACTTTATCTGAGTATACACTGCATCCAGTATCTGTTATCACTCCAGTGCAGAAGGCCAGACAGACCTCTTCTTTCCTCTCAGCAGTGTGAATCATACTGAGAGTCATCTTCTGAATACTCCAACTGATTTCCCTCCAGACATTTTGTTATATTGGCACTTAAATTGAAAACCTGTTGTAGCAAACATTCCAAGAAATTTTAGGGAATATATGGAAGTGCAGAAGCAGTGCTTTCCCTTGAAAGCAGAGGCGAGGCATAGCCTGTTTCCATGAGAAGGATTTTCAACCTGCCAACATCCACCACCAAGAGTTCTGCAGACCTCTTATGACCATCATCACATAAGACTCTATGCATTATCTGGTCAGGCATCCACCATGGATAGGTTACATAATGGATGCATGCTCGTATCACAGTGGGTTGTGATAGGTATATTTTATACATGGCTCTTGAGTTAGAAGTCTGCTGGAAAACACCAGCAAGATGTACAACAGCTGCTCTTCTACATGATGCATAATCCCCAGCAGGAGAGATACTACAGTACTGCCTTGATAAGGGGTAAGATTCAAAGCAGTCTGCAGCTGAGGAGTGGAATAACAGTTCTGTGAAGCTTGGTATTCATGAGGATTGGTCCTTCCTTCCTCTTCAAAAAAATAAAAGTTGAAGGAAGGAGATGGAAAAGTGGGCCTGAAATAGATATATTTACTACCTCAGTAGGCTTCATAGTTGGAGACTGACAAAGTAAGCAGTCTGGCTTCCTGAATCCTCAGCACTGAAACTTGCAGAGAATTAAGAGGAAAGGGCATTTATACAAATCTCACTGACAAATCACAGCAGCAAATCACTGTCATTTGCTGTTATATCAGATATAGACAGATGATCTGATAGGCCTTTCCCATCTCTAATAGTAACACTTAGTTCTTTTACAATTTTGCAGATAGCACAGTGTTTTGCAAAAGAAAGCATCATTATCCCCATGGAGATGTTGTCAGTGTCAGACA